CACACACACACACACACACACACACACACAGACACACACACACACACACATACACACACACACACACACATGTCGATGGTCCGGCGTCCTCGGGACACTGGACCATCGGAGGGGCTCAGCATCACAGTACCCCTCTCTCTCTCTCTCACACACACACACAGACACACACACACACAGACACGTCCCGATGGTCTGGCGTCCTGGGGACGCCGGACCATTGGAGGGGCTCAGTGTCACGGTGCCCCTCTCTCTCTCTCACACACACACACACACACGCACACATACGCACACACACACACACACACACACACACACACACACACACACACACACACATGCACTTCCCTTCTGTTCTTGGGGGATCTAGTCTGGTGGCTTATCGCCAGTGATCATAAAGGCAGCATGGCTTTGCTGTGTGCAGGCGTTACATCATGCACGCATTCACCTCAGTTCACCCTTCTTCGTGAGTTAGGGATTTTTTATTTTTTTCCCGTGAGTTAGGGATTACATATTATGTGTTAACTTAAAGTTTAACCTGTTGGTCCTGTTCATCTTGTGAATGCTTATGTACTCGGACCATGATTGTGATACTGTGCAGCCCAAAATGCCCAGGCTAAACCTGCAATGGAATCCAGGTTTGGAGATGCCCAATGGCAGGCAGGCGACTATTGGTTCACTATTGCGAAGGAGGTTCTTCCCGCGTCCATGTCCCTCTATGACACAGCTTTTGTGTTTGCCTCCATGGCTGCCGCCATGCATGACAGCTTCATTGTTACGATCTTCGCGAAGTATTCTTTCCTTTTCTGGAGACCGCAGACGGCCATCAGGTGAGCTGCCAAATGGCCCAAATCCACATGTCCCCTTCCTGAGCACATTAAACTTTGTAAAGCAGGCAAATCATCCGCAAATGCCATGACCGTCACAATGAAATGCTTTAGCTCTTTGAGGCCAGCTTACATTTGGCAGAATTTGGCTGTAAGTGCTGTCATGTGCATCCTTGAAAGCACTATTTGACATGAAACAGTTTTAAATTTGCTCAGTGACATACTTACATTTGGCAGAACTTGGGTGTCATTGTGGTCACATACGTCCTTGAAAGTGCCGTGAGTGGAAGGACATTGTCAAGTACTATTCCTAGTAGTCTTAATCTCTCTCTCGATCATTAGCTTCACCCAAGTCCGGACTGCCGAAATGTCACAGGGTCGGGTCATTGATCCAACAGGTTGAACTTCATGATGGACACACCTCACACTCAGGTCTGCTTTGCGCAGAGACTATTCATTGGGTTTCTTCCGCTTCTTCTTCTTCTTCTTCTTCTTCTTCTTCTTCTTCTTCTTCTTCTTCCTCCTCCTCCTCCTCCTTCTTCGGTCCAACTCCACTTTTGTCTGTGCATGGCAATGGCAGGACGGTTCTTCGATGCATGTCCCCCTCCCTGCAAGAGTGTGAGATCAGATCTGCGCAACATTGTCATTTTGCTGCATTGTCAGCCAGTCATGTTTGCTTCGAGTCTTCCGCGGTGTCAGTTCGCATCTTTTCCTCAGGTTGGTGAGCTTTGGACTTGCATTGCCGGTCAGGCATGTATCCAGTCTTAGACCCTTAATATTCAAGAAAGGCATTTGAATTGTTACGCGCGTTGATTCCCTCTCCTTTGCCCTTGCCAACTGACGCATGTTTTCTTTTGTTAACCGATCGGAAAACTTTGCTTACTGTGGTACAAATCTTGTGTCCTCTTTGTCTTTGGTCAGGCAAGGTGACTCTGAGAATGTTGCAGATCCATCATGGACAGCACTGGAACTGTCGAGCGAGCCAGATTACCCGAGTGCTACCGTCTGTCAGGCTCAAGCTGGAGTGTACGCGCTGGAAAACTACCTCGGGACAAACTCTGTCGTATTTTCCGTCACGAATGATCTGAATGAGACCCGTGCGTTCAATTCGCTTAATGCCTACGTCAATGCTGTTATCGAGTACAGGTAAGGAGGACTCAACCACTCGCCGAAATTGCACAAATGGTTAACGGGGACCCCCATTTTCAGGCCCTGGGTAACAAGTCCAAAACTGAAATTAGGGTTTCGGGGTCAAATTTTATGTTTTTTTTTTTTGTTTTTTTTTTGCCTGTTCTTGTTTTTGCTCAAGGTTGGTGTGCGCCAAATTTTGTTCATTTTCGGCGCGTGCCAGTTCATTTTTAGATGGTGCGCAGCTGAAATCCACATTGGGAAACAGAGGTTCAGACATACTAGTGATTTAAACAGGTTGATCTGTTGGTGGGGAACAGCACCTGCTGGCCATCGGGAGGGGCAATGTCCCATGCCCTCACTGCAGCTGCAGCCTGCATAGCATAATGGACCTTTTTTTTTATCTTTTTTCTTTTTTTAAACGAAAGGGCCCAATGCCCAAGGCTCCAATTATGAAATCGATTACAACACTTATACGCACGCCTCTTCCCACTAGGGCTGGAAGAGCCTCAGCCACTGCTCCCCTGGAGACAGTTTCCCTGCATAACACGAATATAGCATAGTTGCGGGGCATTGATTGCTTCCCCAGTGAGGAAGGATTAACCCCGTTTGTGTGCAGAATCAATCTCTGCCCTACGAAACTCCTCAATTATCCCTACTTTAATCTTCTACACGGTGAGGAGTAGGGGAGATATCAATAAGGCAAAGAGATTGATAACAGGGTAAGAAAGTTTAGTAGTTCATTTGTAATTACGACGAGCTTCCCCTAAACAGCAGTAGTTAACACAGACACAAACCAAAGGGGAGCACAGTAGTTGGAAGAAAATTCTAATCTAAACGGAAAGACCATCAAACCAAGTCAAACCCTAACCAATGACGAACAAGGATTGAAAATGGCCCCATGGGATGGAGATGGACTGAGATCAAGTACCATGAGAGAGGAAGAATTCACCAAACTAGAGAGATCAACACAGATGAAAAGAGGGGGGAAGGGAGGGAGAGGAAGCAAACCAAGAAGTCACCCCTGCCTCCCAAACCCCCTCTCCGCATCCTCTCTTCTTCCTTCCCGAATCCCACGGAAAAAACTCATTGTCCTTCCACCCCTCACCGCATCGCCTGATCAGCATCATCTCATGCACGTCAAATTTTTCATGCGAGAGGACGGGAAGAAACCGAATAGCCCTCACCTTAGTAGCTGGCCCATCGACAGATCTTGGTTGGACGCCAATTGTGTAGATCGAAGTGGGCAAGACAATCATGGCTGAAGATTGTATTTCAGATGCCATCGTCAGAATCATTGTTGTTGTCATTGGGAAAATTGTTGGTGTTGATGATGTCATCGCTGTTGACGCTGTTGATGTAGATAGTGTTTCAGATGTCATCGTCAGAATCGCTGTTGTTGTCGTTTGAAAAATTGTTGGTGTTGACGATGTCATCGCGGTTGGCACTATTGAATCAGATGTAGATATAGTTGACAAACTTATTTCGGATGTCGTCGTGAGAAGCGCTGTTATTGTCGTGATGAAGATCATTGGTGTTGATTTTGTCGAAGATATCATCATCGCTGTCAATATAGCCGCAGAACTTATCACTGTTGTAGTTGTTGTGTGGATTGTTGGTGTAGAATAGGGTGTCATTGTCGTACCCATTGTTGATGCTGTTGGAGTTGTCTTCGCTGTCAAATTTACAGTTGGTGTAGAAGATGCTTCTGAAAGTTGCTGCGGACCACTTGTGGCAGCGCTCGCAAACACCACCCCAGATGTGCATATTGCCCCTTATCACACATATCGCTCCCTTCCTTGTAAACCGCATAGCAATCGCCCATCAAGGAGTCCGCGAGCTGCTTTTTCTTCTTTTTCATCTTTTTTTTTTAGTTTCTCTTTTTTTTTTTTTTTTTTTTTTAGCATGACAGATTTTAAACCACCACTACCTTTCACAGGCAAACTCGAAACACCAATTTATCATAAACCGCATTCTTCGGGTGAACAGTACCAGCGGACCAAAATGGCTGGTGGCGCCAGCCAAAAAAAAAAAAAAAAATGCTGCGTTGGCACTTCGCCAAAGCATGGAGTGCAGGTCCTTTTCCGCCTCGGAGTAGAGGCTCGGAAGGAGTTGCGGTTTAAAAGAAAACGAAAAAGGCAAATTTAAAGCATTAACAGATTTCTCTGCATGTGTATTTAATTCTGACGGGAAGGGCATTGTTTGTCTCTGATCTGGCTTTTCATGCACTGCCAGGTGCGCCATGGATTTCTCTTTCAGCTTGTACGATGCCCGCACTTTGTGCGCAAAAGTGAGTATTATCCACAATGAAACAAAATCACTGATTCAGCACCCTTTTTCCTGAATTTTTTTATTCTTTCTGTCTTCTCTGACACCCATGATGTGGGTTTTATAGTTAAAAAAATGGTGGAAAATTCAAAATTCAGAAAACATTATTGTGCAAGATCAGCAGTCCATGTTGGGCTTAATTGCCAAACAGTGTAGAATCAGCATCAAATTATTTTATTTTATTTTTTTCTGTTTTTTTTTCTCTCTTCTTTATTTTTTGGGAACATTTTTGAAATGCCCCTGAAGTTTGCATTTATTTGCGATTTGCCCCTCCGACGGCCGACTTACCCTGATTTGCCCCTCCGACAACGATTCAAGTTTCCAAAAAACCCCTGGCGTCAATTGGGCCTGAAATATGTTCAATATGCCCCTACCGGTACCAGTGCCAAATTTCCAGTATGCCCCTACCGGAGAGCCGATGGGTACCAGTGCCAGATTTCCATGCTTTCACACACACACACACACACAGAGAGAGAGAGAGAGAGAGAGAGAGAGGGGCGTGGAAGAAGGGGAGGAACACTCACCTTCAGCAACGTTCTCCGAGGACGTCGAAGGTGGCGGCAGGTCGCAGTACCAGAAGAATGAACTCCGCGGTGAATTGAAGCAGTGGACACAACGTGGAGTGGAGCCCTGTTTTTTTGCGCGGAGGCCCGGAAAATCAAGGAGTTTGAATTTGAATTCTGAGGGCCTCCCCGCTGGAGGGCATCCCAGGAAGATGCATCCAATGCAGAAGGGCAAAATGGACAGCCACCACAGGAAATGGGACCGGCCTACCGGCAGGGGTATTCCGAAAAGTTGTGCCCCTCACTGACAGGGGCCTTTTTGAAAGTTCAGAGGCCCCAGGGGCAAATCAGGGTAAGTCGGCCGTCGGAGGGCAAATCGCAAATAAACGCAAACTTCAGGGGCATTTCGAAAATTTTCCCTCATTTTTTTAGGCACTTCAATGTTTACCCAGATCCCTTCCCGCTATCTTGAGTACTCGAGCTCTAGTTCCAACTTCGAATTTTGCTGCTTACATTTTGGCAATAGAGTGACGTAAAATAGTGGAAAAGTAATACATAAGTATACATAAGAAGGTAAAATAGTGGAAAAGTAATACATAAGAAGGCGCTTTTTTTCTTTTTTTTTTTTCACAAAACTGGGAAGCGGGACCAGCGTCCCTCACAAGGACAGCGGCCCAGGTTCCGGATCTGTGCAGTGCCACTTTGTTCAATCCTCTAAAAAAAGAAGCAGAAGAAGAAGAAGGAGAAAGGAAAACTAGGGCGCTCTCACTGTTTCAGTTTGAAAATGCGTTTCAGTGACAATGTTGTGTCAAACCAAGGAAAATGGTGAATGTATATCGGGTGGAGATGTTTTCTATCTGAGGGGCTCCTCAAACGGATATAAAACTGGAATGGTTACTGCGCCCTTGTCAACCCCCCCCCCAAAAAAAAAAGAATACTTAGAATTATAGCATTTAATCCTAACGTTGGTTTCACTTTGAGGAAACCAACACTCAGTCTCATCATCTGTGTCTTTTTTTTTTTTTTTTTTTTTTCAACCTTGCGGATGTTTAGAGGTGATGATACGAGCAGACACCTCTAACACCATGGGGAGGCTCCATCTATTGGTGGGGAGCTTCACGCTGGACTCGTTTTCCGTCATTTGTGTCTCGTTCAGCGATCAGCCTCAAAATTACAGATCTTTTCTTTCCCAAAGGTTGCATAGGTTTTCTGAGGGCCATGCCCAGGAAGAAGGCAAAGGGTTGACTGAACTTGACTGGTCATAGTTACTGTGGTAACTCTCCAACTTCTCTCAACTACACTCCCTTACCCACGTAACTTTCTTTCACCGCCACTTCCACACCGCCACTGTCAAGCCTAACAACTCGGAGGGCCTGGCCTGCCATTGTGGCTTAGAAACAACATGAATCAGTGGTACGTACAGTATTAAACCACCACTACCATTCCCAGCTTATGTTTTCTGAGGCGCGCCGGGTAACGCTCTGGCCTGAAACGGAAGGGCGGCCACCGATCAATCGAATCGGAGGCCAGTCTTGATTTTCGGACCGGAGTGCAGTGCCCACGGACAACATATGGGAAAGGTACTGGTGGTTCAATAAGCTATCGCAGACTGTTGATTTCTCAAAACGCCTCTCGTTTTTTTTCTGAATGCAGATATCCGAGGACGTACACATCGAGCTGAGCAAGCAGTACTTGAGCCAAGGAGTAGCAGACCGAAATTATGTTGATGTCATCAAGTTATATGGGAAAGAGATATTTGGAAGCAAGCTAGTCCAGCCGGCCGCCATGGGCAGTTCAAGGATAAACGAGGAGTCCGACTCAAAGATGAGAAAAGCTGCTACAGAAATGAGAGGAGGAAGAGGCCAAAAACGGAAAAGGGAATTGCCGAACGGTAAATTTACGGATTTTGATTTGGACCAACGCAGGGCCTGGTTCAGGCAGAAAGGGTAAACCTTAAAGCCAGCTGGCCCAGCTACAAATGAAAGAGCACCCGGTCTACTGTCACGTCACAGCGTCACACCCCATGCTCAGAATGGGAAACTTCAGCAGTTCCCAAAAAATGGCAAAAAAGGCAAACCTAAAACTGCATTCACTAATGTGGCTAATGACTCGCGCAGTTTCAACCCCCCACTAAATTTTATTTATTTATTTATTTTAAATTATTTATTTATTTATTTATTTATTTATTTATTTATTTATTTATTTATTTATTTATTTAGAGAACATTGGCTACTTGCACATTAGGAAATGGGGTCAAACAACGACATCGGCAGCACTTTGTCGTTTCTTGCGTGTTTCAAACTAAAAGTGTGACACAACCACAGTTTCCTAAAAAAAAAAAGAGCATGAGAAGAGGAAGTGATACCAAAGTGAAGGTGATGACTCCAAAGAGTCCAAACTGACGCTGGGGTCTTCGCGGTCTACCCAGGACATTTATTACTGGGCCCATTGGTACCCAGCTTCCACTCTCTTTTTTTTTTTTTTTCAGGTCCTTAAGGTCCTGCCTCCGTTCAATTCTGGGAAGTGGCACCCCGGTTTCTTTTCCACCACCAGTACTTCCTAAAGCCGTGCCCGTTAACTGGCGATTTCTGGTACGAGGACTGAAAGCCTGAGCGGCAGTCTCTCGCCTGTAGCGAGGGTTTGAGTTGGATTTGGCGGTGGTTTCATTTCTGATTTTTGTCTCTCTGTTTTCCATAATTACCATCAAATGGTAGGTGCCAGTTTTCCTGAGAATGTCTTAGGATTCTGGGTACTTCTTGCAACTCATTATAAGCTTCTTTGTTGCTGTTAGATTCATGGACCTGCGGTTTTCGATGCCAGAACGACGCTGGCCGGAGCTGGGGGGTTGCCCTGTAACCTGTCGATGGCAGCAGCGTGAGGCCTGGTAGTGAGATCTGGGGATGGGGCGGGCATTCCAAGGGAAAACCAAGGGTTGCTGTCGGGACAATGCTGGCTTGAGCTGGGGTGAGTTGTGTTGCCCTGTAACCTAGCAGGGTGGGGGCATGAGGTCTGGGAGAGCCCCGCAGGGAATTAAACAGTGTTAGAGAATTTTGTAGTGTTTTGTGAGGGTTTCCAGGGATTCTGAGCAGTCGAAGGATTTCTTCTCTAAATTTTTTCTGGATTTAAAAAAAAAAAAAAAAAAAAAAAAAAACGAAGCCACGATTTTAGGAAACGTATGGGCCACTACAGGAGCGCCCAAATTCATCCGACTATAAATGTTTCTACTCTATTCTTTTTCCACGGCCCGATAGCTACTAAGTCTTCTCAGCATCTAAGTCCCAGATCTGGTCCCATGTGCCACACTACCAGCCGTCGGTAGGTACGCCGCCCCCAGATGCGGCACCATATTCATCGTAGGGCAGGAGGTTGAGGAAATATGTTAGGCTCAGTCCGACAGCAGGGTCCAGTCTGTCGTCTGTCACTCCAGTCAAGTCAGCAGCTCAGTCCCAGGAAAGTCGGTTTGATTTATGGATGAGTGGAAGGCCAACTGCAGTTGGCAAGCAAGGGTATCAGCCCAAAAAGTTCAAGATTGGGAACGGCAGCAAAGTTGGGTAGCTCTAATTAGAAGGGTCGGGTGGGGCGACAATGGTCGGTGCTGGAGCAGTTGCTCTGTAACCAGGGGGAGCTCGAGACTATTGGAGTTATGCCGAGGTTGGAAGGCATAACCATCATGTTTCAACATTACAGTAGCTGATGCCGGGGCAGTGACCCTGTAACCTTCGGGGGCTTTGCTGCTAAGGAAGTTGTCGAGGGAGGAAGACACTTCCTGTCCATCAGAACTAGCTCGGTCGGTACTGGGGCAGTGGGCGTTGCCCTGTCACTCTAGCAGGGGGGTTATGAGATCTAGCGAGTGCTGGTACGAGGACTGAATGACTGGGCAGCGGTCTTTTCTCTGTGGTGCGGGGAAAGAGTCTGATTGTTGGGGGTTTTCGTCTTCTTGCTTTCTGTTTTAGGTTTATCAGACTGTTTCTTGTATGTTCTAAAAAAAAAAAAAAAAAAAAAAAAAAAAAAAAAAAAGAAAAGAAAAGAAAAGAAAAGAAAAAAGCAAAGTTGGGTAGTGCTGGTTCACCTCCTTGAGGACGGAGACTGGAATTCTTGTGGGGGCAAGGAATTTCAGGGTGATGATAGTGCTCGCCCCCTGCTGAAATGAGGTCCTCTGGATTTCTTCATGAGGAAGGAGTTTGGGAGGACGGATGGTCGGGCCCAAGGGAAACTGCTAGTGTAAGGGCGTACTCACACTAGCACAATCTTAAATGGATCTGACCGTAATACGGCTGCACCTGGACGCATGCGGCCGCAATTCCGTCCCTAAATAAGTAAAAGAGTCCTAGTAGTGTGAGTATCCACTAATCTACGTAGAGCTTCCAACCCCGAGCTACTTTGTGTGACCTACTTTGTGTGACCGGGAAGATCTCCACACCTCCTCTGCATCCGACGGTGGCTGTTGTAGGAAGTCCGTTTAAAGATATTCAATAATTCAAGTGGATTCCGTGTTGCAGAAAATGACAAAAATCCAGTCTCTCTCGAATACAAAAGCCCCCTGCCCTTTCCCTTTTCCAGGCAGCTAGTTCTGCGGAAGTTGAGCCATCATTACCTCTCATGGGAGGAGACTCTGACAGAAGAGGGAGGGCACTCTGACAGACGTGGGAAGACACTGTGATGGAGGAGGACACCCTGAGGAAGGACACTGGTTTCCTATGTTTGGGTGGTGAATGCACAGAGAGAGTTACATACCGTGACTGTCCACATTCGCTTCATGCTATACTGTCCACATTCATTTCATGCTATAGTGAGGCCCAGCCTCGGACTTAATGCAGTGCAGTGCACGGAGAGTTTCTTTTCTTTTCTTTTTTGTAATGCTCAAGTGTTTATAAAAGCCGGGAACCGGGCCCTGCGTCCCTTACAAAATTAGGTGGGGCCCTCAGCGGGCAAGGCATCACCGGCCAAGTACATCGAGGGCACCACTAGCTTTCACCCCACAGCCAACTCCACAACCAACTCCACAGCCCGTACCACTGAAAAATCAACGAAAATTATCAACAAAATCTAAGTTCATCACCAAGAAACTCTAATGAGTCTAATCACAACAATCGTGACAACCCTAATTTGGTGACCCGAATTCCACCGACCATGAAGAAACCATGCGCAAAAAGAAACTACCAAAAAAAAAAACGATCAAACCACAGAAAGGAAACCAGCAGTCAGCGCTACTTGATCATGTCCACAATTCATCCGAAGTTACTACCAACCCCTGCCGATCCGCCCTGCCACCCGCGCGGCACTCGAGTGTTTTTTTTTAGTCCATTTTGCTTTTTCTAAAATATGGGAAAAGGCTTTCAGCAGCATCTGTGAAACCATGCGTTCATTAAATGCGGGTTTTGCATTCAGAAATTGAACGCTTTGAATGCGCGTTCTCCACTTGAACGGGTTTGCGGCCATACAGAAACATAAAATAAACAACAAAAAAGAAAAAAGAAAAAAGAAAAAAAGACAAAAGAAAACTTACCTGACTCTCTGTGTGTGACATTTGTCACATTCGCTATACACTCAAAACAAAGTATGACTATGCCAGACTGTTTCAGCCGGCTTTCACCGAGTGTGTGTGTGTGTGTGTGTGTGTGTGTGTGTGTGTGTGTAGAAGAGCGCGCTCCTGTGAGTGTGTGTTTGTGGGCACTTGCATGCAGTTCACACACACACACATACACACACACACACACACACACACAAACACACGCGCGTGCGTATGAACACACACTTGAGCGCGGGCGCACATACCTTTTTGTTTTTTGCTTGTCTGCCTCCTCCTCCTCCTCTTCTCCGTCTTCCTCCTCCTCACACCTTCCTCCTCCTCTTCTTCTTCTTCGTTGACCTCCCTGTCCTCCTCCTCCTCGTCTTCCTCGTCCGCCTGGTCCTCCTCTGAGAATGGGCCACATGGAACTTGCGGTTCTTTTTTTTTTTTGGACGCACCATAACTCCCCTCTTCTCCTCCTCCTCATCTTCTTCTTCCTCGTCCTCTTCCTCCTACTCCTCTTCTTCCTCGCCCTCCTCCCTCTCCTCCTCATCCTTCCCTGTCCTCCTCCTCCTGCCATCGACGTTGCTCCCCCCATTGCCGCCGCTGGCCCCGACGCCATCGCCGCTGCCACTGCCCCCAACGCCAACGCCGCTGCCCCCAACGCCGTCGCCACTGCCCCCATGCGGTGGCCTAAGCTGCTCTGCCGCTGCAAGTGTTCTTTTTATTTTTTATTTTTCGTATTTTCTTTTCCTTCCATCCAGCCAATTCAATCAATTGATCAGTCAATCAATCAATCAATCAATCAATAATCAATCAATCAATCAATCAATCAATAATCAATCAATCAATCAATCAATCAATCCACACACAAACACACATATGTTTGTTTGTTTTTTTCCCCAAAACTGCGTGCCCCCCCGGTGGCTTCTGCCACGCGCAACCCGGTGGGGGCGCGCATTCAGTTTTCTCTCACCGTATGCCACGTGGCGTTATTGAACGCGTTTGAACGTGCGCATGCGCGCTTTGAACGCTCGCATTTGAACGTGAACGTGCGTCGAAAGCGTTCAAACGGTTAGTACATAGAGCAGCATTTCTTTCTTTTTTTTGTCCTTTTTCTAAGACATGGAAAAAGACTTTCAGCTCGCGCCACAGCCTTTCGAAACGAGGGAAATGGGGATGCCCTCATCGCCGCACAGTCTTTCGAAACCCAATTTCGAGAAATGGTCTCTACAGTTGTCAGAGGAACCCCGACTGAAAGGACTTATGAAGTCGAATGCCCCTCCTGCTTGTCACGGCCCTCTTTTCAAAAGCCCTCTCCCGGTATTTTGAAAAACGGCCATCTTCAGGCCAATCTGTCATGGTCCCTACCCTGACGCCTGCACAAGCTGTTGCAGTTTTTTGTTTTCTTTTGTTGTTGTTTTTTTGCTTTAGCGCGGTTTCAAAACTATGTGTGGCGTCTGGCAAACTTCGGAAAATGCCTCCTTTCAAAAGGCTGTCAGGGTGTGGCGAGGCCCTAAGTCATACGTTAGAGGTACCTCCGGTCCTGGTGCTACACGGCGTAGAGCTACGTCTACGGTGCAAGTGGGACATGGGAGGGGATATAAAATTGCAGTATGGGCAGGGTAGAGAGTACCATCCCGTCCAGGTGCTACATGTCATGAGGTGTTCACGGTCAGCAAATAACACAACAAACGTTTTTTAAATCATTACTATACAATGCAATCATTAGCAAATGTTTACAATGCACTATTCATAATAATGAAATGAATACAGATAATTATATATTAGTCATCCTGTCTGGGTACAATGCTTCCAGGGGAAGACGGCAGGCTGTGAGTCGTCAAGGTGACCTATCTGGACAGCTGACATTCATTTGGCTTGCATCTGATCTTGGGGGTCGCCGCAGTACTCACAAAATGAGAAACATGTCGAGTGCATCTTCACTCACATGGTGGAAAGATGCATCAGCTACTATAAATAGTAGCAGATGCATCTTGCCACCTTCTGTGAGCAGATGCACTCGACACTTTTCACGTCTCCTGAGTAGTGTGGCCAGACCCCTTATCTTGCTCCCAGTGATAAAACAACCCCTTTTTGCGGAGGAGGGGAAGGGGAGATATTAGAACTTTAGGGGGCACCCTCCTCCTAAGGGAAGCAGAGGTCCTACTTCTCTTTTCCTTTTCGAGAAACTTTGTGGCCAGGGTGATTGCTTACGGAGGTGATATGTGCATTCTCCTTAAGCAAGTCCCTGTTCTGAAGGCTCCTCCATCTATCGGTGGTGAGCGGCACCTGCTGGAAATCGGGTCCCGCATCCCTGTACAGTGTTGTGGATCAGACTCAGCAGAGCTCCAGTTTGCAAATTGCAAGTCTGACCACATTGTCGTTTGCGGTAGCTATTCCTATATATGGGTCTTGCCACACCACTCTTGAAAACTCTTTTTCAAGAGTTGCTGCATCGCCACACAGCCTCTTGACGCTTCAGGCAGTCAAGAGCTGTCAGAGTGGCAGCCTCTTGAAACCCCCTTTCTTTCAAGAGGGTCTCTTGAAAGATTGGAAACCCCAGCCTGGCCGCCTGCAACTCGTGCGTTTTCAAGCATCCTTGGCCGAACCCTTGAGACACTATCTATTTTCAAGAGTTCTCGTGCCGTTGTCCTGACGCCATGCAAAAAAAACAAAGCTGTATGACTGTCGTTTTTCATCCTGTGTCCAACAGCATCGCCCTTTGGAGAGTGCTGTGTGGCGAGGGGCCGAAAACTCTTGAAAACCCAACTCTTGAGAACGTCTGACAGCTCTTGACAAAAAATTTCCCCATTTCAAGAGTGGTGTGGCAAGACCCTATCACCTTCCCGCCAATAGTGATGCATGTGTGGATGTTTGTGTGGATGTTTGTGTGATGTTTGTGTGGATGTTTGTGTGGATGTTCGTGGAGATGTTTGTGTGGATGTTTGTGTGGACGTTTGAGTGGATGTTTGTGTGATGTTTGTGTAATATATATCCTTCCGCATTGCAGGCTGTTTTTGAATTGCAGTGCCTCACAACAGAGGGCATTGCTGTGAGTAGAAGAGTAAATGAGAATGGTCCTACTTTTCAGACTTGTCTAGGTTCTCTGTTTAAGACCATAGATTACAAGGAAACACACACAAACACACACAAAAAGGGAAAAAAAGGAGCCGGCCAAAAACACAGAGTCTGGCTAAGGTGCTTGCCGCACAACTCGCCAATGACCAACATTAGTGCTGAGCAACCTTCTTTTTTTTTTTTTTTTTTTTTTTTTTGAGCAACCTACAAGAGCACCCAACATGTTCCCTCAGCATACGTTCCCCAAGTCTGGTTCTCCACCAACTGTAGACGGCCCAATACCACCGGTTGGTTGCCACAAAAGGGAAGAGCCCACCAAAGATGTGGCTCAGTCTTACTACGACCTTCCACACACTCTCAGGACCCTCCCTCCACGGAGTTGAGCTTGCAGGCTAGAGGTTTGCTGCAGTTGTATGGACACACCCAACACCTCGGCAGTCTAAAATTCTTCTACAACAAGGTAAATGTACCGTTGCTAAAAGCAAGAAAAAAAAAAGAAGCAGCAGGTATTCATTTGTGTAGCATAAAGGTGTACTATCCAGTAGTGCCTACAATAGTGTACCAAGTACCAAGTACTATGAGCTATCGCAGAGAAATAAATTAAATAAATAGTTATAAATAAAAATTAAATTAAATGTACTAAGTACTACTAACTATCGGACAGTAATAAATGAAATGGAGTAAGGGCGAGATCCCACTGGCAAAGAGGATTGTAGTGTAGTGAGTGTCTGAATGTGGACGTGTTTGTGGACAGGTGCGAAAATTGGTGATTGATTGATCTTCTTTTTCTGCATCTCTGTGTGGAACATGTCCAGACTCAAGACTCTTATTCCAATCCTCTTTGCCAGTGGGATCTGGCTCTTAAGTACTACTACCTATCGGACAGCGTACAAACCCAATTGGACGTGGGCGAGGAGAGGTAGTGTCGTCTCCCAAAGAGCTCAAATACTTCCGACGTGGCATTATCGTGCCCTGCCACCGGTGCAGACTAGAAAAGGCACTAGAAAGAAAGGGAAAACGAGAAAAGACACTAGAACGAAAGGACAAAGGTTGAGAGATACACTCATGCTTTTGAGGGGGCTGAGGCGGCTGGGGACGAAGGATGGAGAAGGAAGGTGGTGGTGATGAGTGTGGAGGGGAGGGCGCAGAGATTTGCCAGGCTAGAAGATAGCCAACACTGTAATGCTGCGAGCTTGACCAGCTCAGCATGTCGGAAACTGACGTGGAGCACTAACGTCCAGCCACGTGGCACCTCTGGAAGCCTCTTAGTACATTTTGTAGGTTCCATTTCAAGCAATACCCCCCCCCCCCCCCCCCCCCCCCCCCCCTTCCTCTTTGCTAACGGCAGCTAGAAGCTTCCAGGGGGCCACTTCACCTTGCAATGCCAGGAGGCGACAAAATCCCTGACTGATTGTCTAACGCAATGGTCTGGGCCCTCTGCTGCCCAATTGACTCGAAAAGCGGATTAACCTTATGACTATTACTCAACCTCCCCCTGTCGACGCTGCCCCCCCCCCAAAACCCACCCACCACTTCTCTCCTCTCTTTCTTCTATGCTCAGCGTGCAATGTTTAGATGCTTAAAGTTTCCAAACCAGGGTGAGGGGAAGGGGAAAGGGAAAGGGAAACACCTTACACCTTTCTCGGCCTTTTGGCCAAGATCAAGTGTAGTATATTCTGTTCTTCTGATCAGTTTAATATCTAATACGTGGTCCATCGTGACCACACTTTACAAAAAAAAAAAAAAAAAAAAAAAGGGGGAAACACCTACCTACCTACAGGTGCCACGTGGCCTAACGTACGGTCAAATTAGAACGTCCTAAGTTGAGACTTAGCGTGATTTCCCTCGGCTGTTCGTTATCTGTTGAAGGCTGCAAGCGTGCCACGTGTCGAGATGTCCCGCCATCTGGCAGCTGGCAGCTGCCACCTGTCATACCATGTCACGAAGACCACTAGCTTACTGGGAAAGTCAGCGCTGACTGCGACGTTGATTCCACCACGCTGACCTGCTTTCCAGTCCCAGAAAATCTCAGACCCAGACCCGGACCCAGAAGGTGTGTCGTTCTTCGGAGGAGGCCGAGTCCTCCCCCCGCCCCCCCAGCCAGCCGACTGCAGAGTCGTCAGGTTACCGTCATCATGATGATTACTGTCATATGGATGAGCAAGGTGAAGAGGAGGGTCAACGGTAGGAGAACCACGATCACCATGATCACCATGGTCAACTGGCCTCAGATCGACGGACCACCTTGTCTCCAACGTCCCCACAACTAGCGGTAGCCAAACATAGCGGGAGTTAGCCAGGCTGTGCTCGTTCCATCTGTCGGCGACGAAGATGTAACGACCCGGCCAGCCGGGCAATGGGAACGCAAAGGCCCCCTGGGACCAAAAGGTTAAGTCCCACATCTCCTCAGCTCCACCTGACATGGGGTTTCCCAACGTCCTCCAGTGTCCCATCATGGACTTAGACTGGTGAAGAAGAGCAAGATTAGGACGCCAACCCGTGCAGGCTGAAGTGATCATCAAGTAGCTGCCATCATACTTGAACACCACGGGAGCCTCCCGCTCCATCTGCTTGAAGTGTTGTGAGAACCTGTTCTGTACACTCAGGTAGTCGTCAGTCAGAGGGGTAACATGTATGGCTGTGTTCTTCTGGGATGCATAGACAAGATAAGCTGACCCATCGTCATCTTGGAACACCGTCATATCTCGGCTTTCTTGGCCATTGGGCCGGAAGCTGCCAAGGTACTCGAAGGGTCCCTCGGGACTAGAACTGGTGGCCACCCCAACGGAGGCCTTATCATATGTGCCATTATCCATATGCATCCACATTACAAACTGTTCGGTCCTTTCATTGAAGATGACCTTGGGTCTCTCAAGCACTTGACTGACGTGTAAGTCGCTGCTGGCGTTTTGCTTATCGGCTTTCAAAACCAGGCCCAAGTCAGTCCAACTCCACAAATCCTGCGACTTGTAGCAGCTCACACCAACCAAATCCACCTGGCTTTGCCAAAACAAAAACAAAAAAAACTCTCAATTACCACCACCTCCCTCTCTCATCCTCCCCCAACACCCCCCCGGGCCCCCTCCTCCCTCCCCACAAAGCCCCTGCTTGCTCACCAACGAAACATTCTCCAACCCCGTAAACACACTTCGAAGGCAGCCGCCTACTCCACCCCCCCGCCCCCTCTCTCTCTCTCTCTCTCTCTCTCTCTCTCTCTCTCTCCTGTCTCTTATACACATCTAGATGTGTATAAGAGACAGCAGAGAGAGAGGCGTGGAAGAAGGGGAGGAACACTCACCTTCGGCAACGT